ATCTCTTTTAAAATATATTGAAAGTTAGAAACGGAGATGGTTAGATAAAATGTGCAAGATAACGTTTATGTAGCATTTATTTATTGTCGAAACGATGACATTTCATAACGGGATGAAATCAAAGTGAATGGCCTGCTGCTGCTGAATGCATGGGACAAGTGACTGGAAAAAGTTTTAAAAGTTATTACGTTTCAGATAATAATAATGATAATTCATTCTATTTAGGGGCGCCTTTCAAAGCACCCAAGGACACCTTACAATTCATAACATATTCCAAGGAAAGGTTTTAAGACAGTACAAATAATGCAGTCCGGGTGATGTTTTTTTATGTGGGGTGCAGATGAGAGAGCTGTCCAGAATGACACCAAGATGTTGTGTTTGAGTTCTTGATAAGCCATTAAAACAGTAAAATAAGTGTCTCCTGTTCACCAAAACATACCCATCTGTTATGGAAAAATAAAGCATTCCAAAAGTATTCTAAAAGTAATCTGAATACGTTTTTAAGACACGTAACTGTAACTGTATTCTGATTACTTTCAAAAATTGCTGGCCCGCAAAAGTGTCTATTGGATACATTTTGGCCCTTGGACAAATGTAGTTGGTGATCCCTGCTCTACTGTGACATGGTTACACAATTTATTGTTGAAAAAGGTCTTTCTCATACTGCCTGTGCTGCAGCACCTCTTTTCACCCTCTATCTGAAACCAGAGCCCAGTCAGCTCTGATTGGTTAGCCGGCCGGCTCTGTTGTGATTGATGAACCACTCATAGGGCTTTCACACCAACGCGATTCCCGTTCCAGCTCCGTGCTAGAGCTTTTCTGGTTCGGAACCGGTTTTTATTTTCAGCCCCCGTCTTGTTCACACCGCCCAGAGCCCGACTGGTGCTGCCGCTGCTGCGTCATCACGTCACCTGATTTTCTCCCCAACGGTGTTGCGGCGCTCACTACAACAACAACAATGAGGGACTGCGTCGGGTCGATGATCGTGTTGCTTTTAATCATACGAAGCCAGATTAAATTAAATAACGACTTCTCCAAGCTTATACTTTTCTCCAGAGTGCCGTGGTTTATTGTTTATTAATGTGTTTCAGCGGCATTTACCGACCGCTGCTGTGCTGCTCTTCTACGGGAGTTTATTCTCTCGTTAGCTCCGGGTTAGCTCACACGGCAGCGGCCGCTGTAAAGTCTTCACTGTCTGACTGTCACACAAGCAGCTGATACATATCCCCAATTCCCCCATGAGTGAATGTGTGTCAGTCTGAATTTACGCTGTTTGGCATCACAACGCTGTTATTAAAGTTTCTCTGGTATAAAATGGGTGATGTTAGCATAGCAACCGAAGCTAAACTGACTATAACTTGACTACTTGTTGCTATTGTGGCATAAGCCGTTTTCTACATGCACATTTTACCGGCGTATTTTTAATTATGATTCTACTTCTGTTAGTTGGACATGACAACCTGTGCAGCCCATGTATTGATTCCATCCGATAGCAGCTATAATACAAAACAAAACATCTGCCTGCTCTCCACAATGATCAATAACAGTGAACGGATGGTCAAAGTAAGGTACAAATAAACAGAATCATAATTATCGGTGCGAGGGAATCAGATACATGAAATTCTGGGGAGTTAGTATTACCGCGCCAATTATGATGTACGTAACGTGTGGTAAGTGTGGTAATAGTATTCTCGCACAATGGAATGAAGATCCTTACTGTCGCATATTGTCGTCAATGTTTACGTAGCGTATCCCGGTACGGCTTAGCCCGTGAGTCCCAATTCATAAACGGTTTCTATGTACTGTACCTGACGTTACCCCACCACTAGCTTGCGTTGGTGCAAGCCAACTTTCGCTGGTGGAGGGAGAGCCCTCGCCCGCCGCTCGCTCCCCTCTCTCCCTCTCCGTAACGAAAGAGGGTCCAATGATCTTCAGTTCTGGTGGTATGACAAGTGCGGAACTGCGCCTCCTCCCCGCTCCAATTCTACTTGTCAATTTCCGAGCTCACTGCCCTTATTCTCTAACTGATTTTTCCTCATCGAGCCTCTTGCACTGATCTT